CGGACACTTAAAACAAAAACTCAATTTTGAGGCGCCCTTTTCAGTTAACGGCAAACAAAGTATTTCGAATGAAGGCGAAACAGTCGTAGAAGACGCCGTTCTGTTCAGGGGAGTAAACATTTCATGGCTAATATTTACGCTGTTTACTGCGCAGTAAAATTAGTGCTGCTCAGAAAAGGGTTATGTAATATATGATATTTTCAAAGAAACGGTTTTATATCTATATTAAAGATACTTAAAGAAGTCAGGTTCTCAGAAAGTTTATTTGAAATTTGATTTGTTTGGAATAACGGAGCCCAGAAACAATCACTAAGTATTGATGTCGAGTGCCCTGTATCCGGACAGTTTTTTTTTTGCTGTACAGAATCGATGAATTAGCTGCGTACATTATCCGGGTAAGATTTATTTCATATCTATAAATATAATTAAAGCGTAGGATATATGATATAGTCGTAAAATGTAATTGTACTCAACTCCGTTCGGAAATTTTCTTCACTCATTCGGAGGCGACTTGATTTCGTGTGCGCCGCTTGTTTCGCGTGACTGCATTTTCTATATATAACCGAACGCGTCGGAGTTGAACCTGGAATTCTCACACTTTCCCCAGTTGTGACTGCTATAATGGGGTTGCAACGGTCTGGGATTGAGAGATGTGAAAAAAGGAAGAATTAGTGATAGAAAAGCAGGCTTATTGTAGGGTCTGTAGGGACTGAGCATAAAGAAATCAAAACTGCAGGTCAGACTAAATAGCAGAGTGACCTTTGACCGTCGCATTGAGGTCCCTTCCGCAAGCTATTTTTTTTTTAAATAAAAAATGAAGAAAAAAAGTCGTTTGCAGATTGGCTAATTGAGCTATTAAACCGCGGCTTCGGCATGTCCACGGATGTCTTTCTTAATTCAGTGAAAAAGTTCTTAGACAAGGAAGTAAGAATTATGCCATTTAACATCCGCTCGCGTTCCCCACCATACCCCAGTACATTGTTATGTTTTATTTCACGATGCTAGGTTATATTTTTGGAATCGATTGCCAGACTACTTCGCAAGTGCAAGAGAAGCTTCTAAGTCGCTTGCCTGTCGAAATTTATGTACAATTCCTTTGTTATTATTGTGTCCGGATACTGGGCCAGCTGTCCGGGTACTGGGCAACATAGGAGCTCTGCAAAAATATTAATTTCGCCATGAAAACAAAGGCAAAAAAGTTACACTGTCTTTCGTCATATTAAGAACTAAATAGATTTTCTCTGGGCTAAATTTCAGGTTCTTGCGACCAACAAAGGAAAGTTATTGCAATGTTCAACTGAAGTGTCCGGGTACTGGGCATCATACTGTACCGGATAATTTTT